AAAGATGTGATTTCACTTCCATTTCTGAGGCAGCTGATTCTTTCTCTTTTGACAGTTCTTGACCTGCTATATTCCTTCATCTCATGGTTAGACCATGTAGAATTTTCCTGTCTATAGTGGTATACAAACTGGTGCCCACTTGATGATTCCTTTGTGTAAATATAATATTCAGAGTCCATAGGTGTATTCCCCTGTCATGGCTAGGGGATATATCTTATCAATTGGGATCCTATGACTGTAGGGACATTCTGTCCTCTCCTCTCTGGTTTTCCCAAGCCATGGGTTGAAGGGACTCATCCAGGATATATAACTTGGAGTTGGGCACATTTCAGTCAATTATTCTCTGCATTTTATACAGTTGTGGTACTTTGTGATAGTCTCCATATTTTGCAAAAAACATTTATTTTATGAAGATTGAGAACTATATTTACCTGTGCACCTAAAGATAGGCATTTAGAAAACAGTTAGAAAGTTTAAGAAACTGTCATTAGAATGCATAAACTACGAGTCATGGCTTTCCCTTTTCATGGGTGGGTCTTAGTCTAATTAGACAGTGCTTCAAACCCCCAAAATGGAAGTTCCATGATTCCACCATTGTGAATGTCTCCTCAGTCCAGTTTGTGTTGGGGTTCACAGATATCACATCTGGATAAGTCGACTGATTGCTCCTTTCCCTTTTCTGCTTTTACTTTATTAAAATCATTTCTTTGGGAATAGGTACTAGGTAAGTTTCAATTCAATTCCTCCAAAGTTTGAACCTGAATTTTATTGTGGCTTCTGCAACAGAGTCATGTTTTCTTGTTCTGTGACAATCAAGGACAGAAATAGCTGATTTAGTTTTTGAGGATTCTTGGAGTACCCCAACCAACAGCTTGACAGGAGGTTTAGCATGCATGGTACTGGCATTTTCCTGCATAGTCCATGGCCAATGACTGGAGTCTTATCAATATAAATGGCATAACATCTTTAAAATGCATGTTAATATATACACATATACATGTATATATATATGTGTGTGATTTTAGGTAAATATGAGACAATATGATTGTATATATTATCCCTAGTGTTTCCTATAATTACTACTAAATATGTTTTTAAAAGCCATATGGACACCTGCTACTTTAATTTAGTTTGCATTATGTCATAGAGGGGAGATGATGTCCCAATTACAAATCATATGCTACTAAGTGAAATCTCAAGTACCAAGAATTGGTTACATCTTGTGGAGTCCCATAGAATCCCCACAAAACATTGTAGGCTACTGTCAACGCTATTGGTTACCTTCCACAAAATGATGCTAAGACCTTATTCCTGAAGACAGAACTTAGCTTATAGAACTGAATATGGAGAAGCGGGGCTGGAGTACAACCAGAAGCATCATATCTACTGTCTATCATTAATAGCACTAGAATGTACTCTGCACAATACAGAGGAAAGGGAAACCCAGTCTCAAACATCTAAAAATCATGTGACCTAGAACAGTGTCCTAACTTCACAATATATTAAATAATGGCACAACTATTATGTGAGTAATTAACAATCTTTTAATTGGATTTAAATCCAACTCCATCAGATGGATCCTACATCTTACACTGACAATGAGGCCAAGAACCCGATTCTACATAGGTCATGGACTTAAAGCAAAATCTATTAGTAGTATTCTGCTAAATGATCAGAATAAAATGACTCCTGATGACTTATTGCTATAACCAAAGCTCAGTGCATTGCTCAAATGTCATCAGAAAAGCAATTTTTTGCAGTTGATAGGAATTAACACAGAGATTCAGAACTGGACAATGTGTGGACAGTGAGAAACTTGGAACACTCATTCTACAACAGGATGTTTTCATAAAATCCATCTACTCATGGCATTGAGATCTATGAAAACCAGAAAATGGATAAATTCTAGGAGCCATAAGTGTTGGCTGACTTAAACCAAACAGAGAATTCTTAAACAAAACAGGGATTGTGCACATATGGTACCATGCAGGACAGGTTCAAACAAGACAAAATTCCAGGACAGAGAAATGGAAGTAGAAACAAAGCCTCACTCTGAACAAAGAAGAAATATGCAATTGATTCCTTCTAGGAAAGCCAAAGTCAATTGTCTGCAATGAATTGTCACTGTTTGCATCAACCGTAATGCAGTGTACCTCTCATACCCAGGTGTATTTGGTGAACACAAAACAAACTCCAAAGTTATTTACTTGAGGAATGGTCTCTTAATTAATTTTTGTTTGGCTTGGGTTTTTGAAAGTTTATTTGTGCTTTTGTGTTTAGAGATACAGGATAAAGCTGAGTGGGTAGAAATTTGAGGATGTTCTGAAATTTGTTGGTATATGATGAAAACTATGAAAAATATATCACACTGAACAAATTAAATAAAAACATATGAAAAGAATTTTTAGAAAGTAAAAAAGTATCAGTAAAAAGTGCTGATCTGTTTAAAAACTGGAATATACTGAAAAAATGACTGTTATCTCTGACCAAAATTTTCTCAAGAGAAGAAATTAAAACAGCTAAGAATTAACTTTTAAATTGGTCAACATCTTTAAAATTAAGGAATTCAAAATTAAAACTACTTTGAGATATTATTTTACTCCAGTCAGAATAAATGGCGATTATTGAGAAAACAACCAAAATCTAATGCTGGTGAGAATAAATATTGGTGAATAAGTAGGGAAAAATCTGACCCTCATTAACTCTTAGTGTGATTGCAAACTGTAACAATCATTTTGGGAAACAGTGTGGAAATTTTATGACATGGCCCAGATACACTATTCCTTGGCAAATATGACAAATAATTTTATATTCTGATTCATAAATAGTTCCCTAGCCAGGTTCATTATTTCTCTATTCAAATATCTTAGGAAGGAATACAACATAAATGTCATTCATCCGATGAGTAACTGATGAAAATATGGTACATATATGCAATAGAATTCTAATGAGCTGTGGAAAAACCTGAAATCATGGCATTTCCAGGTAAAGGGGTAGATCTAGAAAGCATTTTACTGAGTGAGGTAACCCAGACACAGAAATACAAATACTAAATAATCTGTATTATGTGTGCTTTCTGTCTTCGAATATGTAGATGTGAGTTTATAAACAGGAATAAATGTGAAACCAAGTAAGTAAAATGGGACCAATTGGGGAAGCAACTCTAGATACTGGAATGGCACGCCGGTGCTACAAAGGGAGAAATAAAATAAGCAGAGGGTCTCTTAACTGCTTCTCAGTTCAGTCAATAATATGGAATGACATAGGGATAAGAGAGATAAACAATACTAAGGATGTTTGAAAAGACATAGAGAATCACATTATCTCATATTTATCTAGAAACACACATAATAAACCTGTATATGTGTATAAAATGTATTTTTAAGACTTTATGTCATCATCATCATCATCATTATCATCATCATCATCATCATAATATTCTCCCAAAGTGCCATGGACTATGTAAGGAAACCTCAGTACCATTCATGAGAAACCTCAACAAGTCAACTTGTTGGTCAGGGAAGTCCAAGACACCTCCAAAACCATATGAACAACATTGACTGACTCACAGAACTTGAAGATACAATTCTGTTGCAGAAGCTACAGTGCACTTCAGATACAGAAATTGGAAGAATTGAACTGTAACTGACCTGGAATTTCTTCCATGAGAAGTGGCTTCCATGAGGTGAAAATCTCCAAAGGGAGAAGTGCAATCACTCAGGCTATCTAGGTGTGATCTACGTGAACTGCGACAAAACCTGGATTGGCAAGACGTTCACAAATGTTTCAATAGTGGAGCTTTTACTTTGGGGCTTTGAAGCACTGTCTAATTGGACTAAGACCCATTCATCAATAGAGAAGCCATGCCTGGTACAATACACATTCTAATGGCAGTTTCTTAAACTACAATACTTTCTATCTGCTTTCAAAATGCCTGTCTTTAGACACACAGGTAACTACAGTTCTCACACCTCATCAAAGAAACTACTTTTTTGCAATAAATGGAGACCATAAAAAAATCTCACAACTGGTGAAAATGTAGAGAATAATTGTCTCAATGGTGCCCAACCCCAACTTTTATATCTGCAATGAAACCCTTCAACACAAGGCTTTGGAAAAGCCAAAGATGAGTGGAAGAAAGCTCCCCCCCCCAAGGCACAGGATCACTGCTGATGCTATACATCTCCTAGACATGACAGGGAAACACACCTATTAAATTACAATAGTATATTTACACAAAAGAACCAGCAAATGGCACTTAGAAGGATGGGTAAATTCTACATGGTCTTCCCCCGAATGAAGGAATATAGCAAGGCAATGGCTGCCAAAAGACAAAGAATCATTTGCCTTAAGGGGGAATATCACATATTGGTTGTCCAGTCACAAGTGATCACCTGAGAACACATTCACATACACACAGAAATAAATGGACTCTGTAAGTTATATATATGAATATGATCATAGACACGTATCAATGAAGATTAAAGAAGAGATCATAAATATTTGAAAGGGAGAGAGGCATTGGAAGGGTAGAGGGAAGGTGGGAGTCAAACAATGCACCTAAGTCACTGTGACCTCAAAACACAAGCACTATTCTCATAAATGAATTTCACATGTTAAAATTTTGTATGGTCTCTGCTATTTTTATGCGCATTTCCTACCATTCCGAAAGATGATTTAAATTAGAAAACATTTTAAATTATGCCCCATTTTCAATTTCCTAGTACTTGTTATTGAGTTTCTAATTTGGAATCATGAATTCGGGCTCACAAATGCTGTAGAAAAATATCCAAATGAGTTCACAGTTTCCCAATACAACAACCTTTGACCGTTTATTACAATATCCATTTCTCCCTATTAGTAGCTAGTTTTACAGTGAACTTTGGAATGTTAATGGTTACTTTTGTCTACACTATAAATTTTACCCCTTAAGATTTCCTACAAACTGAACAGGTGGCTACACCTGGAATCCAAACAGCACCCACAAGGAGCTCGTTGCCATGGCAGACTACATTTGGTTTGAAGGGACACCTCTCCCTAATCTACAAAATAACAAGGAAATACTTGAAGAATTTCTTCCTGAGTTTGTGATCAGAGATGAAAACATAATCATAGAGAGTTATCCAAAATCAGGTAAGGAATATCAGTAAAAGTGATCATAAATTTTATGAGGAATCTTAAGGCTTTGATCCTTATTCATTTGGGTGATAAATGAAGTGTTTTCTATATCTGATGTTTCAAATTCTTTGTGAGCATGGGGATCTGTGTGTGAGTGCATTTCCACTCAAACTAAGATGTCTACCTTGGTATGTACTGGTGGAGGATAAGTTAAGGCAAAATAGCAATGGCAGTGGATCTGAATGCAGACACTAATATTGCTGTGCCTCTGTGTGGCAGAGAGAGTGGAAGAGGGATGATAAGAATAAAGAGAAAAGATAGCATCAAAAAATGGCGTGGGTGAAAGAATATGGGGAGGAGAGGACACTGTCATAGAGAACAACTACCGTGAAACTCAGGTAGTGGGAAGAGTCATGCAATACAAGTACCCAAAAAGAGGCATCTTGGGTGTTGGGGAAGAGCTGTTGGATGGGTGTCGGAAGCACTGAACATTAGATAAGTATTAGGTTGCTGTGTAGCATGAATAACAAAAACAATGAGGCAGATATTGGGGTTCAAGCTGAAGATCAGAAAATCAAGGCTCTCTACCAAGGTTGAAATGAAGATCCTACCTTCCCTTTGACTGGAAACTGGATATCTCATCGAACCAATTGTTTTCCTTATATACCTTTGCTAGTGCTGGATATAAAATTTTGAGCTCCGTTACTCCTTTAGACTGACCCACTCTAGTACGGCACAGGGTCTTGGACTCATAGAGATCTATTTACCGCTGTAATTTAGGTCCTGGGATTAAAGGTTACTACCACTTCCTGGCATCTGTGGCTAACGAGTGTGGCAAGATTTACCTTCTGATCCCCAATCAAGTTTTGTTAGGTTATAAACATTATATTGCCACATTGCTGACATCAAAAGTTCAATAACACAGAATAGCCAAGGTCATTGGAATGCGTGCAAAAGATTCAGATATACGCCCAAAGAAAGAAACTAGAGAAATATCCATTGACAAATGAGCATGTAAAGAGAAATACAAGGGAGTGTGGTAACTAGACTCAACAGGATTTATTTACCTTACAGATAAGCAATACTCATACATTCACTGCAGCATGGATGTATCTCAACAGCATTCTTTTTAATAAAAGGAGCCAGAGTCAAGGACTGATTCCATGACTGCACTGCAGGCAAATATCTGAGATAGTTGAATTCCCTGTATGTAATGCGAATGATGGTGGCCCAGGAAGGAGGGAAGTTCAGTAGGCTGGTGGAGTGTATTGAGTGTAGAGTCTCAGATTTTCCAATTTAAGCATTGGGAATATAGAGGAGGAATATACTTTGTACTTACACCATTTGGACACTGAGAACACCATATGTTTGTGTGCTTGAAAGCAGCTGCACAATAAATTGTATAGGCATGTATTGTATTCTACTAGATGCTTTTTCAAGTAATTTTGAAGTGAGTTACCACATCTTTTTCTTGTTGTTCAGGAACTAACTGGCTGATTGAGATTGTCTGCTTGATTCAGAACAAGGGGAATCCAGAGTTGATTCAATCTGTGCCCATTTGGCAACGCTCACCATGGATAGAAACTAAAATAGGACATCAAACTTTAATCAATAATGAAGGACAACAACTGATTAGCTCCCACCTCCCCTTCCATCTTTTCCCGAAGACTTTCTTCAGTTCCAAGGCCAAGGTCAGTGTCCAGTGGTTGAGAAATCTTGACCAAATGCTCATTGAACTTATTCAACTATGATGGGCCCTAGAGCTCTGCCTGAAGTGCAGTCTGACTGTGCCGATTGTGGGAGGGAATCTGGGATTCACATGCAATAGGTGGTGCTGTTGTGTCCCCTCCTCAGAATACTCCTCAGAGTACCAGGATGTCAAACACCACATAGGGATCCAGGCCTGATATATGAGATAAAGTTAATTATCAACAAGAGCATTCAGGAAACTATAGGTACAAGTCAAACAGAGTATAAACTCTCATCTACAGTGAATATTACACTTTTGCTGTCATCAAAATTAATTAGATAATTTTGGTTTTACATAAACCCCATGCCTATTGGGTGAATCATACAAGGCATAGTTGTGCATAGGAGAAGCAGCCAGAAAAGGCACCAATAGTTTAGTCATGGACATCGCTTAAAGTACATGGCTCTTCTGTACCTACTATGACTTGCCGTGTCTAGCTGTGCATTGAGAACAGTAGCTACAAGAATCACCCATGTCACTGAGAATCCCCAGAAGGGATCAGAGATAGCCAGATTCTTACCTATTATAGCATCTTGTTAGTAAGAAAGTTCTCTGGAAATTCCTCCAACACAGTATATAAAAATTTTTATATTTAAACTACAGGGGGTAGACTTAGAGAGGCTATCTCTCTTGAAACTATCACAATTGAGTTGTATCCTATATTTCTGTGTTATCTGGATATGGCAAACTCTTGGCTGGAGGAATTGAGGCCAAAGGACATGAATTCTAGAATAACGTCACCAAGAGCATTGGTACAAAATATAGATATTATTTTATTAAAATTATTACTTATTTTCAATTTATTTATTTAATTTTTGTGATTATAATTACACACATCCTTTATCCTTCCTTTGCTTCCCTCCAAGTTTACCTATGTGTCTGTCCTTTGTCTCTTTCAAACTTATGGTCTCTTCTTTCATTAAATAATATCTGTACATGTATCTACATATTTCTCAATATTTAAATACAACTTGCTTAGTTGTATGTATGTTTTTAGGGGTGAGCAATTCACATTGTATAATCTATTGCTATGCATTGCACAGGGGATGTCAATTACTCTGACTCTACATTTCTTCATTGCTTGAATGTGTTGGTGTTCACCATTTGGCAATGACACACTGGCTTTATGATCTGCACAGTTTTTGGTTTGCCAAGATTGTATTTGTTGTATTTTTCCTAGATGTTTTAAATTTAAATTAGAAACAACTTTATTTTCCATATCAATCCAATTTCCCTTTCCATTTCAACCTCCCATGCCACCCACTATCCCCCTATCCCATCCCCCTTCTGCTCCCCAGGGAGGTGAGACCTTCCATGGGGGAATCATCAAAGTCTATTATATCATTTGGGGTAGGGCTTAGGCCTTCCCACATGTAACTAGGCTGAAAGAATATCTCCTATGGAAAAGAGCTCCAAAAGTCCATTCATACACTAGGGATACATACTTTTTCTTTACTAGAGGCCCCATAGACTGCCCAGGCCTCCTAAGTGACACCCACATTCAGGGGGCCTGGGTCAGTCCTATGCTGTTTTCCCAGCTTTCAGTCTGGGTGTCATGAGCTCTTCTTATTTAGGTCAGCTGTTTCTGTAGGTTTCCTCAGCCTGATCTTGACTCCTTTGCTCATTAATCCTCTGTCTCTACAACTGGATTCTAGGAGTTCAGTTCAGTGTTTAGCTGTGGGTTTCTGCTTCTGAGTCCACATGCTACTGGATGAAAGCTCTAGGATGGCATTAAAAAATTCATCAGTCTCATTATATGAAAAGGGAATTTAAGGTAGCTTCTCCATTATTGCTTAGATTCTTAGTTGGAGTCATCCTTGTAGATCTCTGGACCTTTCCCTAGTGCCACAATTCTTTTTAAACCTACAATGGCTCCCTCTATTATGGCATCTCTTTTCTTGCTCTCCTCTATTCTT